ACACTGCAAAAAAAACATCCATAAATCTATGGTAAAAAATTGTAAAATACCAACAGTTACTGACTGTAATATCCAAAGCATTATACTACCGTAGAAAATACATGGAATTATCATAACTCAATAAACATATATCCTAAGTAATTTTGACAGTCATGAATGTAGAAAATACAGAAATATATTGTAAAAATATAAGTAATTGTAAAGTTCATAGAAAAATATTGTAATATTGCCAGCAGTTAATTACCCTAAACTTAACAGTACTAATCAGCCAAAATTACAAATTTTGCTGATATTTATATCTACAATGTAAAACCGTAAACAAGACTGCAAAAGTCATTTTTACAAAGAACAGAATGCTGGTGTGATATTTTGGTTTCTTTTTTAATAATGCCTTTAATACACCAAACTGAAATCTCAACAGTAGACCAGGCATCAATCTGGCGACCCACCGATTGCAAAGCAAACTCCTACAGCCAACGCCACCATCATTTTATGAGAGTATTTGATTAAATGATGCATTTGAGATTAATTTTATGCCGACCATAGATTTCTTATACATTAAGAGAACTGTATGTTAGCCCCTCTTGTTTGGATGAAGCTGAAGTTGGTTTCCATTTGCTGCTTCCAATTTGTTAAATGGCTAAAGGGCAATTCCACCTAATTTTTCACTACCATCAGCATCTTTAATTTACTTTAGCTAAAAAACTACAACACCCTAGACTCTTCAAATCTGGACTAGATTATTCTCAACTCATATCAGAATATTTAAAACCAAGTGTGGGATTTGTGAAACTTTTATTTGATTTGTGAAACTTCAATAAAGAGCAATTCTAGTGTTATCCAAAATCATAAAAGTTGTGAAGTCGCCCTTCATTGAAGTTTCACAAATCCCACACTTGGTTTTAAATATTGTGCTATTAGTAGAAAATAATCTAGAGAGGTTTTCATTTTGTTATTGTGATAAATAGCAGGGTTTACAGTAAATGGAGACTGTTATTTGTCATGTAAACAAATAATTATCTAGTTTGTATTGCTGCTTGATCCTTCAGCATCAGCAGCAAGATTCTTTTATGAACTCTGTTCCTGTAGTTGAGCGTGGCTCAGGATACTGTGGTTTTCTGAACTCAACACAGTAAAGTCACAGTGCGCTAGCTAAGACTGCTAACTAGCAGGTGCAAGCTCAGGGAGTTGAGAGCCCAGTAGGCCTGGTCCTTGTCAGGATGTGGATCCTGTCTTAGTGTTTGCTATTTTTGCACGTTCAGGAGGAGAAGGAGAAGGAAACACATCTCTGCATCACAGGTGAGCCCCTTTCACGGTTTTAACTGAAGTTAGTTAACTTTAACCAACTGATAAAGAAATGTGTAATGTCTGAGCCCTGCTGTTTATATACATGCACTGCAGCTAGACATTTTTGCTGTATGGAATATTTAATTTTCCCAGACGCAACACTTCCATTAATGTTTCTGTAGGAACGACTGCATAGATGTATTTATATTTCTGGTCTACTTTAGACTGTATGTGCTTAAAGTTATTGTTAATGGCAGAAGCAACTTTTTCAAGTTTGGTTCAGTAATTAATTTGAATTACTTTGAGTGTGAAATGTTCATGCATGCAAGTTAAATCTGTGGAGAACATGTTAGCTTTTGTTTCAATACTTTGGTAATACTTAGAAGTATAAAGCTTGGAGCTAATATTTAATATTTTCCTTTGACCTCTTGACGCTCACCCCCAAAATACTTACACTAAAGTCACTGGGTCCATGACAGTTGAAGGGTTTTAAGATAATGAAATTTAAATATTAATATTTTACAGTTTTTCTCAGTTTGGGTGCATTTCTGAGAACAGAATTGAAATTCTTAAAACTACCTGTTCAATCTTCAAATTACTGTGTCACTAGTGCACATCAACAAATGAGTTTCTCATTCCTTTTGCAAGTTTTGCTTTTGTACATCATGTAACTGATTATGTGCACTTCTCTGCTTTTCCCCCGTTGTAATTTGCTTTTATCGTGTTGATCAAAATATGTTAAACGTGTCTGTGTTGAATTCTCAACTTCAAAAACGGCATAAGTTCATTGTGTAAGTCTTAACATGCATAAGTCTTAAAGTTGTCATAATGTCAATCATATTTTAATTAATTTATATTAGATTTTTTTCTAAATCTGTCCTGAATTGGTAAATTGCTCCCAAGTGAGTCCTGAGTTTCTCTAACAGGTCAATGTATGAACCATTAGCTCAGCCAACAATCAACCAGTTTTCTGAAAACAGATTGAAGGTGCATCTGTGAACCATCAGTTGGCAACATTATGCTCTATATAGTCAGAACACAACACAATGTTACATTTCTGAGAACTGTTGAACAAGTATCTGGACAGAATGAACAGCCAGAGAGAAGAAGAGTCAGAAGAGGCTGAGGACATCTGCCAGTTTCCATCAGTCCAACATCAGGACATGGCTGCGACCCACAACATGATGCTGATGGAGGTCCTCCCACCCGACTGTTCATTCCTTAACCCCACTGAGGAACCTTTGTCAGCATGACGATGGCAATTAAAATGTAATGTAATTATGTAATTTCTACAGCACTGTACAGTTTTCCATGAGGAGATTGTCCTATGGTTCCTTTGCTACCTTTTTTTTGTTCTCTGCATTTCTGTCTTTTTCTTTCTGAATCACCATCAAAAATTACAGCAAAAGCATAAATGTGAATTTTGTAGCCTCTTCCCATGACTAATCAGTTTGACTGTCTCATCTGTACATAGAGAAACTATAACTTATTATTTTGAGTCACTGATATGTTAACAGACAGAATTTTAAGAGCTGAACTAAGGATTTTTCAAGCAAACAAATGCTATTTTTGCTGTTTCTACAAATTGTTTTGAGAAATGCGTTTACTGTTTTGTAAATGCCAACAATGACTTGAGAAATGCACCAAAAGTGACTGAGAAAATCTAACATAGCATAAATTGTCTCAGGTGTATCTATTTGTTTGCCTGTATGAAACGTGTACACATTTACAGCTTTGTTTCTGCTAGCTTGCAGGAATTGTAACTTACATAAATGGTTGAAGACAACTTATTGGGCTTCATGAGACTCAGATAAATGGTGAGTATCTATTTCATAAATTGCCTAAAACAGTTATATTTAACTTTTAAAGTCAATTTGTGTATTGAAAGTTGGACGTAAGATTGTTTAACATGTTACAAGGGTTCTCTCTGTTTGGGGACATACATTTGAAAAAAGAAGAAAAGGATTGCTGCTCCAAGACGGAGCTTTGTATAAACACCTGTCGACAACAAACAAAGGTTTAAGAACTACTGACTTTTCAGTCAGAAATGATCACACCGCCTGGTTGACTCCACGGGTCTCCATATGCAAGTCAACAAAGGTGAAACAAACATTTAAGCAAATGGTACATTTATATGATGTTCATGTAGTGCATCTTTCTAACTTTTGCTTTGTTTGTTTTCCAGCAGAGAGGAAACACCCGATTGACAACATGTGAGTCTCAATTTCAACCTGTGACTGGGAAGACTACAACCATCCTGAGCAAAGTCTGAACTCAGTGACTTGTTACTCTCAACCCAGAACAAGAATCGTTTTATCACCGGTTTTTCTTCTACAATAGGTTATCTCTTATGTGGACACATGCTGTTTTTTGTTGTTGTTTTGTTTTCCAGATCTCAGTAATACCGTCAGGAAACTGGACAGAAAATAGAATCGGTTCTTTTTTTAACTGAATTTTTAAATAGAAATTGTTTCTTTAAGTGGATTACTCGTAATCTGTATTTTTTGTTTAATTTGAATAAATTTTCTTTATAACTTTCTGTATAGAAATGCTGACAAGTTACACTTCCTTGTGTGTTGCACTGTAATTTTTATGGTAAAATTCTGGTAATAACAGCGACCGGTAATTTACCATAAAGTTTTTGGTTTATTTACAATAAAATGTCAATATATCATACAGTCTGGCCATGTTTTTCACTTATGTATATTCCTCAGGCAGTATGACCGTATTTACTACAGCAAAACCACATTTTAATTTTTTATTTTACCATATTTTAGGAAATACGGTATTTTACTGTATTATAAAAATACGGTAAAATACGGGTAGTTTTGGTTGCCAGAATTTTACTATATTCTTAAAAAAAAGGTAAAATACTGCATTTTAAAATACGGTAAAATACTGCAATTTCAAAATACGATAAAAAACTGGCAGTTTTGGTTGCCAGAATTTTACTGTATTCTTAAAAAAACAGTAAAATACTGCATTTCCAAAATGCGGTAAAATACTGGCAGTTTTGGTTGCCAGAATTTTACCGTATTTCTAAAATACAGTAAAATACTGCAATTTCAAAATACTGTAAAAAAAAAAATACTGGCAGTTATGGTTGTCAGAATTTTACCGTAATTTCAGAATACAGTAAAAAACTGGCAGTTTTGGTTGCCAGTATGTTACCGTATTTTGAAAACACGATAAAAAACTGGCAGTTTTGGTTGCCAGAATTTTACTGTATAAAGATGGTAAAATTATTTGCCAGAATTTTACCGTATAAAGACGGTAAAATTCTGGCAACCACAGCTGCCAGTTTTTTACAGTAAATTGAGGCCGTTTTTTTTTTACAGTGTGGGTTTTATAGTTGCATAAAACAATTTGATTCATGTTGCTTATTCTGACACGTGGAAGTTGTACAGGGATGATCCAGACCTGTGCAGAACCACAGATGTCTTCCTGATGTCTTGCCTGATCCTTTTTGAGTTTTCCATGACATCATCATCTGGGTTTCACAGCTTACTTAAAGGAATATTACAATCGTAGTGTTTGACATCTTAGGTTGGTTTGGATAGCTTTTCCTCTTAATAAACAAAATAGTTATTTGGAAACTACATGATCTTTTCTTAAGTTATCTTTATTAAAATTTGCTGAAACATTTAAGTGTAACAAGAAAAGCAGAACCAGCAGAAATAATTTTCTCTGCCCCTAAATATCCCCAGTAAACTAAAGATCATATATAACCTGGTTTCTTTAATCCTGGATGATACTTTAGTTTTGTCGCCCTCATTTGTCACTAAATAGTTCATTTTATTGTCCTGGTTACTAAAGCAGAACTCATTTCGCATTTATAAGCAAGAGAATAAACAATATGAGTGAATCTATGAGCCTATATTCTAATGTTAGTGTCAAACCAAAGTAAAAGACATTTGTGCATCTCTCTACATCACAAGTCATAATTACAGTGTGACAGTGATTTGTTTGAATAATCCAATTTATCCTGCAACAATCTGTGCCGTCGCTGGGCTGCGCTGAAGTTTCACAAAGCCTTTCTACTTGTAAGGCTTCACAAATCCCAAACATGGTTTCAAATATTCTGCTATTAGAGCAGAATAATCCAGTCCAAGTTTGAAGAGTCTAGGTGTTGTAGATTTGGAGCTGGACCAATTCTAGTGCAACCCAGATGCAAAAAAGTGGTAAAATCGCCCTTCACTGAAGTTTTACAAATCAGATAAAAGTTTCACAAATCACAAACATGGTTCTATATATTCTGCTATTAGAGCAGAATAATCTAGTCCAGGTTTGAAAATTCTAGGTGTTGTAGTTTTGGAATTAGAGCAGATCTTGTGTGATCGAAACCGAAAAAAGGGCAAAAGTTGCCCTTTTTTTGAAGTTTCACAAATCAGATAAAAGTTTCACAAATCCCAAACATGGTTTTAAATATCCATCTTTAAGAAGAGACTAATCTAGTCCAGGTTTGAAGTGTCTAGGTGTAGTAGTTTTTTAATTAGAGCAGATCTATGGTGATCCAAATGTAAAAGAAGTGGTGAAATCACCCTTTTTTGAAGTTTCACAAATCAAAAAAAGGTTTCACAAAATCACAAACATGGCTCTAAATATTCTGCTATTAGAGCATAATAATCTAGTCCAAGTTTGAAGCGTCTATGAGTTGTATTTTAGGAACTGGAGCAGTTCTAGTATGATCCAGATGCAAAAAAGTGGTGAAAATCGAACTTTATTGAGTTTTCACAAATCAGAAAAATGTTTCACAAATCCCAAACATGGTTTTAAATATCAAGCTTGAAGAAGAGAATAATCTAGTCCAGTTTTGAAGTGTCTAGGTGTAGTAGATTTAAACTACAGTCGATTAAAGATGCGGAAGGTAGTGAAAAATTAGGTGGAATCGCCATTTAGCTATCGGAAGCTAGAAATGGAAACCAACTTCAGCTTTGTGTAAGAGACGGTGTTCAAATTAGCCATTTTTACTCTTATAATATCACCTTATAAGTAGAGAGGGCCTTGATAATAGTTAGTAATTTTTGTAAATTCAAGCTGGTGACGTCCTAGCCCAAGGTAGACGACAACACAACAGGACAACAACCTATGGAAATGAAATGTGTGTCACAAAAGGAGCCCAAAGGGACAAAGGCTGCTAAGGTGTTGCTAGCTAGTGGTAAGTTTGCTTATTAATTATCTTTGTTTAATTATAAACAGTGCAGTAAAGATATATAGCTTACTTTGGTTTCAGAAATAATTATTTTATCAATTTCATTGTGACTTTTATGATTATTATTGTTATCATTGATGTTATAACTGCATGGAAGCTCTGTTTGTTGCGACTTAATATACTTTTCTTCATAAACTTAACCTGGTTTTAATTAAGCTCCGTATGACTTTGATATTGTGAGGTTGTTATAACTTGTTCATCAATGTTTTTATCTTCAACATATTTTTGCAGTCTAAGCAAATGAAGATGAAAGAGGAAGCCAGAGAGATCAGGTTTTAGAACACCTAAAGGCTTTCCTGTCTCAGAAGAAGCTGTGACTCCATCAGATCACCAACCAGCTCTGAGGATGAACCTTCACTAGCTACATTTACAACAGCAAAAAC